CCCTCAGGGTATCCAGACTGGCAGGTCTTGGAGGAACCGGCTTTTGTCAGTTGCTTATGAGCACTGAGACCCCCAGCCACACCCTCCACCCCGGTGACTTGTGTTTCTGCTGACATGACCGTATTCGAGGTAATGGAACCACTCTGTCGTCTGGGAGCAGAGCACTAAAGCAGAACTGAGTTCTGTCTCAGGCTACATGCACCGCTGAACCTGCAGATGACAAAAATGCCCGACTGCCTGAGCAAAATCAAACGCAGTTAAGAAAAAAGTGAGAGGAAAAAAAAGGAAAAAAAAAGAAATTGGAGTGAAGGAGAAAATGCTCAGATTTGTCATTTATCGGCAGCGACAGCGACTCCCCGGGTCGTGTAAGTGCACGACCAGACAGGCCAGACTATAAAAGTGGTTATTGTGCATCAATCAATGGAAATGCGTTAATTGGAAATTAAAACTTCCATTAACTTCCTGAGTTGTCGTTGCCATAAAAAAACCAATCAAGACGTATTGAGAAGTTCCTCAAAATTACCCTTTTTTTTTTTTCTAAGAAAAGTCAGAGTTTCAGTTGGAGCGGCTGCTGCACGGCTTTAATTATTAGTGATTCGTCTGGAGACGGTGTGAAGCTGTGACATCGCCTGAGGGTCTCACAGAAGTCCCCTTGGACTGCACCTGGAGTCTGATTGGTCATTTTAATAACAATATGGAGTCAAGGCAGCGCCCCGGACAAATCACCCGCCACGGCAACGACAGACCCGTCAGCTCTGAACCATGTGACCTCCGTCCGAGCTACGCCTCAAACCGTTAAATGATTCCATTAGGAACCGGCTGAGATCAAACTCACAGCACGACGCAGACGTGGGAACAGGAATCCAGAGCCGTGTGGACTCACAGTAACTGTTGAACTGGGAGTGAGAGACTCCAGCGTAACAACGACAAAACAAACAAACAAACAAACAAGCTAGTGTTTTCAGAGGAGGAAAATGAAATCACATTTTAACCAAAATAGCCAACAGGAAGTGAGAATAATACAAAACAAAAAAACTCTAGTTACATTTTAGCTAATGTGGCCAAGATTTTGTGGCCCTTGAGGGTCCCCGCTCCCTATCTTTGAAGAAACAGATTTTTTTTTCCACTGTACTCAAAAACAGGTTTCTCTCAGAACGACCTGGTTTTCTCCACCTCCCCAGAGTAGTGACACAACTACAGTGGACAACAGAGGGAGCACCGGAGCAGAGAGATAAAATTCCAGTCATGAATCAAAAGCTCCAGGTGTGTGTGTGTGTTATTTACCCACTTCACTGACCTTGTATGACCGGCTGGCCTTTCTGGAAAGGGCCAATGTACGCCACCTGGTAGTGTTTGACCTGGAACCCGGGCACACAGCCCCCGTGGCCCTCATCCTCTTGGCCACTGACAAGGTCAACCTGCAACAAAGACAATGGAATTAGAGGTGAGGAAACAGCAACAGCAACAGCAACAAGTCTCGTGATGGTCAGGTGGACGGAGAACCATGGGATGTTAGGGATTGGCCAGAGGAAAATTTAATGAAAAATATGAATAAAATAATGTATATATTTTTTTTTTACTTAAGATTCGATTGTACACGATTAGGTTTCATTGACCCAAGACTTGGCAACAGTTTAAAGAACTGAGCTGGAATAAATGTGAATCAATTATTTAATAATGAATTTAAGAAACATGCATGTGTGTATTGTCTATATAGGCATATACTGTATGTACAGTATATATATATATATATACTAATTTACACATACATGTATATGTCAACATATATGTCTATACATACACATGTAAATATATGTACACATATATTTATATACAGACAACATAAATGTATATACAGAATGTCTATACATACACATGTAAATATATATAGACATATATATTAATATACTGTATAAACATCTGATAATCTGTACTGTAAAAGAAAAGTATTGACACGTGACCATTAAATCAGTTTTCTTCTAAAATTACACCCATTTATTTACAACAAAAAGTACATCAATTAACAAACCAATTTATTACTAATGTGAAAATCACCTCCACATTTCAACTACAGTAGTAGTAGCAGTAGCAGTAGTAGTAGTAGTAGTAGTAGTAGTAGTAGTAGTAGTAGTAGTAGTAGTAGTAGTAGTAGTAGTAGTAGTAGTAGTAGTAGTATTTCTCCTTCGACTCAAGCTCAGTATAATTTTGCTCTTCCTTAAATCTAAAATTAGACGTTGTGCTGGCTGGCCTCCCAGCAGTGGCTAAATTCTCCAGATAATTTACAGTTCCATGCGTTTCCTCAGATTTAAAACCTGTATCGCCTTTCCTGGTTGAGTTCAGGTCAGAAATATTTCGTGAGCTGTCAACTGAAGTTCTGAGGGGAGTAGTACACAGAGCTTCAACCGCAAAAAAACTACACGCACAAATCTGAAATTTATTTTTATATTTTATACAAAAATAAATAAAATAAAATATACTGCACACTTATTCTAAAACCATCGACCTACGCACAAATCTGAAATTTATTTTTATAGTTTATACAAAAAAATAAATAAATCAATAAATAAAATAAAATAAAATATACTGCACACTTTTTTTCTGAATACTTCATATCCAATTATCATTGAGGGGTGTAAATAAACAAAACAATTAAGCCGTGCATTTTCTAACTGTACTTAATGACCGTTCAAACTGCTGCTAATTAAAACCTTCAACACCAGTTAAATGACTCTATAGTACATGGCATTCGAAAAATTACAGACAGAAACGAAAGAGTTTTGAGTTCTCCAAAGTAATTTCTTCAATTCCTTAAAATTTAATTATTGAATAAAATTCATTACGGACCAAAACTCATCAAAAAACACAGAAAGCAGCGACGACAGGAAATCAATCAACACAAGAATCTCCAGCCAATCAACTGTCTGACTTGGACTGAGCTCACTGTCATAATGGATGGAAGGGGGCGCTGTACACTGCATTACCTCTGGGGTAACAAGACATTCCAACGGCAGAGTCTGTGCCGTCTGTGGTGGAATGTCTGTAAGATCAACGCGGCCTCTGGATGTTTGGCAGACGTTCAAACATCCAGAGGTTATTACATGTAATGTGGCTGCAGCGTAATCACGCCACCCAGGGGACGGGGGAGCATTTCCTGCCGGTGTCAAAGTGTTAATTCAATTCCACGGCGAGGCTTCCCGACAAGGTGGGACACAATGCTCGCTGGTCCATAAACTCAATCAGGTCGACTAAAGGCCAGGGGCCTGTCAACACACGGGGGCTACAGGGGACACACATGCAAATACAGTGGGGGACGCATTAGCATACGCCCACACACACTTGAGCAAATATATAAATATATACCCTGCGTGCTCTTTTCCACTCTCCCAGTAGGGTGCAACGACGTCAATAACCATGTTAACGTCCACTAGGGGAAAAATGTTGCCATCCAGAGCCAGTGTCTCACAGTGGGACGCTGGACTCATCAGTGCATTACTATGCTAATCACTACATTGTTAGTAAAAGAGAACGGTATAATGGGAGATGTTTTCCATCAGGATATAATTTGCGAAAGCACCACTCGTGTGAAGGTTAATCCATTTGAGAACAGCACGGATGAATGGAGGCGTCGCTTCAACAGGGAAAAAAAAAGGGAAAAAAGAAATAAAAATGTGTATTAAATGGGATTTGAAATCATGTAGAGCTGGTTTCTCTATTCATGTAGTAATTCATATTAAAGCTACAGCGCGGATGGTTCTCCGGCCAATCACAGGGGCCACACGTGGAGGCGACACATTATTCACACTTATTCACATTTACCGCTGTCGTAAATTTAGAACGAACAACGGATGTCATGCTGCTGGGTTTTTGTTCCATTTTTCTTTTTTCATCAACAGATAAAAAATAATAGGTTTTTATTCAGAAAAAAACACAAAACAAATGGAAACTACAGATTTTTTTTTCTTCTAATGTTTCCGTTTTCCTAAAAGTTCATGTTTTTTCTCTAACAGATTTTGAGCAGGATGCCATAACAAACACTACAATCTAAATGTCATTTTAATTTGCATTACATTTTACAACAGATGTCCTGACTTTATTGGGGGAAAAAACTGCTTTCTGGGCTTAAAAAAAAAGATAAATTGTGAATGTGAAAACAGGCAGAGTGATCACCGTTATCAGAAACGTTGCTGCCTGATGATTTTCACAAAGACAAGACATATGTTCAAAGAGAAGCAGCTGTGGTGTGAAGAGCTTCATGTTGAATGTGAACCCACTTTATTTCCACACTTCAGAATAGCTTTTCCCCGGAGGAGAACGGTGGTAATTGATTCCTGTGTGTTTTGGCTGCAGTTTCTCGTCTTTTTGATGTCTCTGTGAGGCGACATTGTTGCCCGAGTGATTAAATTTGGTAGGAATTTTGTCTGAGCCGAGCCGACCACGGTACAGCCTGGTGGATCATCGTACGACCAGCAGGAACAAACGGAACGATGCACTTATTTGAAGGAACCTTCATGAGGCTCCCGCTGAAGAGATCGTCACCATGAAGCCGAAGATACAGAAATATAGAGCAGAGACGGCGCTGATAACTAAACTATTGACTATAGACACTAGACAAGATCTTAGATTTTACCCATCGTCTGAACTAGTCTACACCAGCCGGGCAAATTATAATAACAAAACAAGACCCCTCTCCCCATCCTTCTACTAATCTTTTAAATCAAATTCACACATGAACACTTTCCCTTCAGGATTTTTTTTTTTATGTCCAGTTCAGCAGCACAACATTTAGAGTCTACTTGAAAAAAAAAAAAAAATACAGCCGAAAGATAAGTGTGTAGTGATTCAGTCTTATCTGTTTAAATCACATGACAGAAATATTCCACTTGAAAATTGAGGGCCATGATAAAAAGAACTGAAATATGGAAGAGGACATTAAGGGAGGAGGTAAAAATGTATGGGAGATATCGGCTGCGGACATAAATACAGCCGTATATTGACAAGCACTTGGAGAGCGGGTCTTCAGGTTTATGTTAGCTCTCTAAGTGCAGCGCAGGAACGGTCAATCAGGTAAACAGATCCATACACTTCCCCTCCAGCATTTCAATCATGTGTTCTGACTCGGAGGTGTTTTACTGGGCGAGGTGAAAAGTGCAGCGAAAAAAAAACAAAAAAAAAAAAACAAGAAATCCTAACTCCTAAAAGCCTTTTCTTGATCGTAGTAGGCTGCGCTATTGATTCAAATGAGACTCGAGTGATCGAAGGCTGGTCTACGACAGTGGTCCACACATGTTCGCCTCGGGGGGAGAACCAAAGGGTCATCTCATCACTGAAGAGCTTGACACCTGACTTGGTTCAAATGTGAAGGAGCAGTCAGGTGATTAAGGCGATGACTGGGCGGAGCACGCGGTAAATGTCACCTCTGGTGAGAAATCAATGCAGCGTAGAGGATCTATAGTTCATCTCATGGACAGAGATGAGAAAAGTCCGGTCTGGTGGACAGAGGACGGGGAAACTGGGAGACATACAGGGGACAATGCACTCCAACCATCCATCCATCTAACTAACCATTCATCTATCCATCCATCTAATCATCCAACCAACCATCCAACACCCATCCATCTATCCATCCATCCATCCATCCAACCATCCATCCTGGTCCGTCTCCACTCCAGCCGCAGGACATAGTGGGACAGTGGGAGAGGGCTGGATCTACCAGACTGGGTCTCAGACACCCACAGCTGTCCAGGTTAGCCGGCCGTGAAACACCTGAGTCATGAGACCATCTGGTTTCTGGTCCGAGCTGCCGGACGCCGGCCTGAACCTGCTGGGCCTGTAAAACAACACTGAAGCAGTAAACACCGGGCTGCGGCTGAGCCGAGACGGAGAGGGTGTGAACTCTCTTCACTGCTGGGGCTGTCACTGGGTGAGAAAAGAGAAATCTCGACAAAAAAAAACAAACGGTCAATGCAAAAGAAGGAGGAGAAACCGAAATCTCCAAGATCAGGGTGAAAAAAAAAACAAAAACTTATATTTCACTGTAGATTTGAAGGATGAAACAGTGAACTCAGTTTGTTGGTGGTCGGTCTGTTCCTGAGATAAATCCATGGCTTAAAATATGATTTAAAAAAAACCAAAATAGCCAAATCTGGCTAATGCTCTTGCACTGTCACAGTGCAGTTATAGGTCAGTGAGTAAATCCTAAGATTTAATGTTGTTGTTGAAGATTCAGCGAGTCATAAAAAATGATGGTAATTCACGAGGCAGCTGCTCCTAAAACATTGGTATTTGCTGAAAACCTAAATCTCTTATTGGCGGCTGGTGGTTTTAGGTTCGTCACTTCCTCTGCTGGAGCCCCGAGAGACTGAGAACCAAAATAATACAGGCCTTTTCCTACAAAAACAAGCTTTACTTTAAAACCTTT